GGCTCTGCCCCTTTGACAGCATCAGGGCATTGTCCCCCCTTTATTCTTCCCTTCCATCTTCCCTTCTGTAAAGATTTCTAGCTCAGCGATAAAAAGCTGCCAGATACTATCTCAGGTGCTCAAGTACACTTGAAACAAAAAACCCTGAAAAAGGTCCAAATCTCACAGGCAGGGAGCATTCCTTAGCTCTTTGAAGGCACTCAGCCCCAAGGGAGGTGGGCGAGGGGAACGTACATGGCAGCATTTGATATTTGAGCTGGCTGCAAAACAGCAGAGTGATTTCTTTGTGCAGTTTCAGCAGCAAGAAATGGGGGCACTTCCTTTCTGCTTTGCTGAGTAGAATTTTATCTTTTGGTTTTGACACTTATTAATTTTCCACTTATTAGGCTGCCTGTGAGATTTTCTTTGTTGTTTTTCTCTTTTTCATTATTATTTAAACGATCAGCGCATGCAGAGTTTTCATTGTCAAACTAAACACACTGAGTAAATACAGTCCCCGAAACAGGAGATTTTATCTGGGAAATCCGATGAAATTATGTGGCTGACAGTTGTTCAGATGAGCTTCCTCTGCTAAAGTACAATAGCAAATGATATCCTTCATTCCCTTTCCCTTCTCTTCATTATGCATTGGAGGGAAGGGAGCAAGAGAAAAGAGCAGCTGTCCTGGCGTTGCATTTATTCTGCTGCAATGAATGCACTGCACACAAGCAACAAAGCGCTCATGGTGAGCACAATGCTTAGCAGTGAGATTACACCTAGGGTATAACGTGATACGTGACCGGCTCCAGGTTGCAATGACTTGCTAAGTCAGCCAATTTCTTTTTCCTTGTCCTTCTGTGGCAGAAGAGCATCTGAGAAGTGAACAGAGATTATGCTGATTCCTGCCCAGAGCTCCTCACTCTTGCTGGATATAGCCTGGAGTTAATGTACTTGAGCAGTGAGGCAGCTTTCTAAAGGACTTGCTCTGTTCATGGCATAAATTTTACTGCAGAGGGGAAAAGCAGGTTCAGCCTTGCCTGTTAGCCATACTTCTCATGTGGCTTATAATGAAAGAAACCACATAACTTTAGGAAAAGCTGAAATCTGAAGGACTGTGGGTGGTCGGGGTGGAGGGGGAGCAGCATGCTCATCCCATCCCAAGGGCACAAAACTGAGCCTGGCATCCCACAGAGACCGTCAGGCTTTAGGCTAAGGGGATCAGCCAGTATGAGCAAAATAGCTTAAAACATGGTGTGGGGTGGGACTGGGCAGGGGAATGGCTCAGATTCTGACTTATCAGGCAGAGTGGTCATCCACCATAGATATAGAGTCCCTATATCCTGATACAGCATCCCTGTAACTGGTGGGCTCAATTTGAGAAGAGGTTGGGCCCAACTGGCAATGATGTAGAAAGAATGTCTGTGTGTGAAGTAATTCAACATGTAAAGCAACTTCAGCCCTTCACATCTATAGGCCTGATTCTCAGAAAGGTGTCTCATTTTTCAGACTGCCAGGGCCTCAAAGCAAAGCTTATGGTACTTACTCCTCCTTTTAAGTCTCTCTCCCCAACAGTGGTAAGTGGATTTCACATGAAAACCAGAAGGTTGTAGCCAGACTCCCAACTCTTTGCTTTTGTAGTTTGCCAAAACCCACAACCATCCAGCCAAGAGGACTGGAACTGAATTGGTTCCATGACTCCTACCTGAATGTAATAAAACGGGAAACTGGATGAAAAACAAGATATCAAGATATCTGTATGATCGTCACAAACAGTGTCATCAGTGAGATAAGGTGATGGTGGAGACAGGGAAGGGTATCAAACATACTTCTTGTTTTCACCTCTCATTAAACACGTTTTGATTGTTTTCTTAACAGGAATTGGCAGAGAAAGCTCAGCACATTAATTAGGTTGTAATCCAAAGCTAAAAGACATTAAGAAAGAGAGATAGAAAACCTGGCTCTGGGTACACACTACCGTGGGCCCACGGGAGAAAAGTCTGTGATTAAGACAATCATATCTAAATTACAGAGCACAGAACAATGTGAAGAAAGGCACATAGCCAAGTGAACACCAACCCAGCACTTCCAGATGAAGCTTCCATAGCTGTTGTCTAATTTGTGGCAGAAAGTGTTTTTAGATGGCAGAAGATGACACCACAGGTTCCCAAATCTACTCAGAGGTGGCAAAATTGAGCAATATCAGTCTGAGGTTGAGGTCTTCTGTCTCCATCTCCTGTGTTTCCACCTATAGACCATCACCTCCTGCCAAGCATTCTACCATGGTACCTCTGAGGATTCTTTACAATGATACCAGTAACTTCTTTTTACTTTGCAGGTCAGGAAACTGAGGCATCAAGGAAGCTTGACTTGCCCAAGGACTTCTCAGAGGTCTAGTACAGAGGAATATAATTGTGGTCTCTTGAGCTCAATCCACTATCAATCCTTGAGCTCAATCCATTACTCAGTCGTGTAGCTGATTTTTGGAGCTTAACATGCATGAAAGACTATGCTTGAAACCAAATTCTTCATTGCAAAAGCTGATGGATATAGGTTACATGACTGGTGAGACACAGAATCATAGAATCATAGAATATCCTGAGTTAGAAGGGACCCACAAGGATCATCGAGTCCAACTCCTGGTACCACACAGGTCTGCCCAAAAATTCAGACCATATGGCTAAGAGCATAGCCCAAACACTTCTTAAACTCCAACTTATTTCAAACAATGCATGTACCTGAAAACTAGAGTATGACTAATGCTCAACCCATGTTAATGTTCATCTTTGCTGTCCTGGCTCAGATTGCGTTGGGAAAAAGTCCTTTAAGGGACTTTTAGTCGTTTAAGTCCTAATTAGTCCTAGGTATTAGTCCTTTAAGTCCTAATTCTTCAAACTTCAGGCAGTGCAAAGTATACTGTACTGCATTAGGAGATGGAGCCAGAAGTAAGAGATGACACTCGTCATTGGTGTTGATAGCTGCTCAGGCTTTTCAGACAGAGGTATCTTGGAGATATCTGGAGAGACATGTTCAATTGGGGCACAGCTGCATGGTTTTCCTTCCAAGCTGGCTGGATTCTGGTGGGCTTTGGGTGTTGGTATTGATGGTGAAGAATTTGACCCTATTGGACGTTTGGCATCCTAGTCAGAACCACCACACATTACTTCTCTTGGTAAAAAATGAAATGCCAGTAACTTCTAGATTTATTTTATTTTATTTATTTTATTTTATTTTATTTTATTTTATTTTATTTTATTTTATTTTATTTTATTTTATTTTATTTTATTTTATTTTATTTTATTTTATTTTATTTTATTTTATTTTATTTTATTTTATTTTATTTTATTTTATTTATAGCCGTCCATGAAATAATATATGCTTAAAATCTCTAGCCTGGAGGAAGACCTGTATAGGGTACACATTAAGTGTCTCACTTTATAGAAGTCTCCATATTACCCTATATACACTACCCATATGTATTCAGAAGAACAGCCCACTGAAGTCCCACCAAGATTTGACATCAGACTGTGCTAAGGTGCCTGTTGGCTAGCCAGCAAGGAGTTACAGCAGACTCTGTGTGCCTCACTGCAGTCCCCTGCACAGGTAGAGGTATTTTGGAATATATGGGCAAACCGGCAGGCACTTTCCAGATGATCTGGAGACCCTTCATCCTTCTGAACACACATAACCAGTGCATTGTAACATTTCAAAAGCATCTCACAACCCTTGCCTTCTTCATCTTCTTGCTTTGGCCACATAATAGGGACATTTACTATTGAATAATCAGCCTCTTCCTATTCAGGATCCTAATTATCACGTCCTCAGCCTCCTCTCAACAATAGTTCAGAGATGAAGCACATGTACTCTTCACTTGATCTCTGCTCCATGATCACCATTCATCTGGGAAATGGGCTTGCAAACCTTTCTGCAGCTCACTTGGAGCTGTTTTGTCACTCTTCCATCATGCTAATACTTTCCCTCTTCCCGCGTTCACTCTTGGATGCACACTGAGTGTGTTTACATCAAATTTTGCCTTTATTCTGCCCTCAGACAGGGTGGGAGAGAGTTCTGAGGAAGAGGCATTTTGTAATAACAATACCATTATTATTTTACTTGTGAACATTTTACCCTTCTACTAGATTGGATTTCACTCTGGCTATAGTTCTTTGAATTTTAAGGACTTTTTTCTTTTTTCCTCCTTGTTTTCCTTCTTGTCTTATCCTCTGTTTAAAAGCAAAGTCATCAATAATTTTAGATGAAATGTATTTGCTGTAACTCTGCAGGATAACACGGTTTGAATGTTTTGATTGATTTACTTCTATAAAAAACAAACTGCATCAGCCATTTGCCTGTAGAAACCTTTGTTTTCTTTAAAGGTATGAGCCCTGTGCCTCATTAGTCTCCCAAGCTTTCCTTTTGGTACCTGTTGTGTTTCACATGTTTTTATAAGCTGTCTGCCTCTAATAAATGAAATTATACTTCAGCTGTAAAGTGTTCCCATAAGCAATCAAAGAAATGCTGCCTTGTAGTCTCTGAGAATAAGCACCATCAGTACCATTGTCACATCATCAAGATGTAATACAGCCTGGTTATTAGTTTTATGCTACTCTGACAGCTCGGGTGGTGAAACATCTCTAAAAACTCGGTGCTGGAGGAATCAAAGAATTGAAAATCATCATATACCAGGCTAAGGTGCTTGGCACTACAATATTACATCTGACTGTCAGGCAGAAGGGTGGCTTGATTCAGCAAAACCCCTTGAATGATATCACTCAAAGGTCAGAAGCTGAAATCAGGTGAATTAAAAGTAAAAATCACTTGCAGGCTCATTAGCATGATTGGAACTATCAGCATGAGTTACAAGACCCGTGACAGCATCTTCAGAGAGCTCCAGAGAAGATCAGCTAAGCCTCCTTTGGGATCCACAGGCAAGTACAAACTTGTTGTTTGCTTTTGCTCTGCTTTCTTGCTTCAAAGAGAAAGAATTGAGAGGATTGTGTTTTTCCTGGGGCATCTTTAGGTCAAATGAGAAGATGAATGCAGCGGTGTGTGTGCTCTGGTCTGTTCTTGTCTCACACCTACGATGTAATCTGGAGGAAGAGGATGGGTTAGCTCATGACACACAGCATTATTCCATTTCGGAAGAGAGCAGGCTGCCATCCTGATCCCCTTTTTCCTAGCACTGGCCTGGCATCCAGTGATGGTAAGTTTGAATTCCTGAGGTTTTTATGCATCTCTCCAAGGTTAGGTACTTGCTGGCTCAGCTTAGGGCACCATTGGGTGTGAGTGGAAGCAGCCCCACAAGAAGAGAAAAGCCGCAGAGCCTGTAAGCAGCAGAGCATGGATATTGCAGATGGCAAGGCTGGGTGCTGCACCAAGTAAGTTGCTTTTAACACTTAAACAACTTTTATCTTAGCTTGAAATTCATTCCAGTTTGGTGATCCTTATTTATATAAAAATCTCTTTGCCTTTTCTTCTCAAACTGGGGTGAAGCAGAAGGGCAAGCAGAGAGGAAATCAGCATTCAAAACTCCTCTCCACTTGCATGCACACTGCATTACTAAAATTAACATTGCGTCTGGTTCAGTGGGATCAATGCTGTAGCCAGATTATTTACTAATTAAAACCTAGATATATCTAGGATGCAAAAAATTAAATCCCACAGACTCCAGTTTGCCCTGTTGTAACCCATCCTTGGGAAGCAGCAAGACATCCGATGTCTGCTTATTTACAGGCAGATATATATGTAGAGAGAAAGCAGATAATGATTCTTTTATTTCCAACCCCTCTATGTACAAACACGCAACCAAAACCCTATTCAGAAACTGGTGATTGTGTTCATTGTTCCAGAACACATAATAGCAAAGGGAAGCAGGAACTGCTTTAGTGAAGTAGAAATAGTTGAAGTTGTGCAAATGGGAGGGGGGCAGGGAAAGCAGCAAATAATTCTCACAGTCTAAAAGCTGCAGAGAGCCGTAAATCACTAATCCTTGCACTCTGTGAGTCTAGCACCCCTACTGAGCTACTGTAACTCTTATGATATGTCACCAGGGCCTGAGGTTTAGCCACAGTTCCTAATACGTGGGCTACATCCTCCTGAATTCTGCACCAAAATTTGCATGGATTTCATGGTGGTTGAACTGGATTTTCTGGGGGCCACGTGACATTCAGACACAGTGCTCCCACGGTGTTTGGATACAGTGTCCCAGCCAGGGACGTCTCCTGTATCCCTCTGGTGGGGAAGGAGAATGGCCCAGGCTTGGGTAACCAGCTCTGTTGAGCAGGAATCTGTCGTACATCTCCTGCAGGGACTGAGACAAACCAGGGCATGGGGGCCACACAGAATGGTCAATGTGCCAGTCCTGACAATGGCTTGCTCAGGAGCACTTATCTCTGGATTACACAGATCATAAGGGAAAGGTCACTGCTGGACACCTGATGAGAGGTACTCCTTGGGTAGCTTGTGGTTAAACCTCTGGTGTAGCATGTAGGCACCAAGAATTCGGTCCATTTTCCTCACTGTCCAGGGTCCTTTATTACGGTGTCCAGCCTGGTTCCCAAAAAGACATATTCTCCTGTAGGTCCTAAACACACCATCCTCATGAAGATGTGTCAGATGCCCCCAGGTCACCTCCAGTGACAAGAGCAATATGTCAAGGCAACAGATTTCATCTCTTTATCTTTTTCCCTGTTCTGCTCCCATCTAATATTCCTATTTGCACATCATTCTGTTCTCCTCATATCAGTGGAAAGAGCTCCAGTCTCCAGGAGCTGCCCTGGTTAAAACCATTCCCATGTTTTGGTTCCTTGAAGTTATTCAGAATTTCCTGCACAAAGGAGAACCATTAGGACTCGTAGTTTGTGCTGAGCCATCCCCCCGGCAGAGCAATTAAAATAAGAATCGTGAAAGAGCAATATTATTTTAAAAACACAGCACAGCTTCTGATATAAAATGGCACTAGGAATGGACTTGTCGAGGATTATTAGTTTCTTATTTTATTTTCAATAAAAACAGGGAAAGAAAGAGTGTTTACAAGCAAAGCAGTCTGTTCCCTAGTCAAAATATGCTGTCTGATTATGCTCTGGGACCAAGCAATTAACAATGATCAAAGAACATATTTGTCGTTAAAAAGTTAATGGGGATAAAAATATCACTATATTGATATTTTTTGCTTTTTTTTTTTTTTTTTCCTCCAGAAATTAGACCATAATTTGATAGCATTTGACAATATAATGCTCATCATTTTTGGTTGTTTTAATGTGGGAGCAGAAGGTGGTCCTCTGCTTAAAAACAAATTAAAAAAAAAACAACAACAACAACAACACTTTTTTCCCCCCAAACCTATCTTTCATTAAAAAAAAAAAAAAAAAGACTCAACAATATTTTTTAGCCAGATTTACAGATTGCACAAGGAGGTGGTTAGTTCAACTACAGCAGGAAAAGAGTAATTCTGAGGACTAATTAAATATGCTGGTATGCAGATGGTTAATTGGATTAATAATTACTTTGCATATGTATAAAGAGGTTTTATGTTTGCTCAGGCAATTTTATCAGGGTTCCCCTGGGATTAAAAAATATCATGTTAATAAATGATTGTTTCAAATAGTAAGAGAATTCTGTCTTGGTTGTGACTAAACTTTGGAGGAAGAATCTTTCTGCTTCCATCAGAAGGTAATTTAAATAGGAAAATGATTTTTATTTCTTTTTTTTCTGTGCACTCACCTAGAGTCACTCTAGGGAAGAAAGAAAAGTGAAGCATGTTGTAATCTGCAGGAATCAGAAGACAATGGAAAAATCTGTTTTTAAGCATTTTTGGGGGGTGGGAACAAATTGCCATGGCAACTCTCTAAACGGATATGTCTTCAAGGAAATCATGCTGTTCTCTTGAAAAGTGTGATGCATAATACAACAAGCACTTGAAAGTTATCTTTGAAAGGCATGTGTACAGGAAAATCAGAAATATTTTATAAATTCAAACTTATGAAACATTCATGCTGATACACTAATGTTTCACACAGCAATTATTCTACCCAAAGGCAGGAGCTGAATTACCTTGCCGTGTATATGTGCATTTTCAAGCATGCTTTGTGGTTGGACTGATCTGGTCTATCAGCCCTTTTCGTCTGCTTCGTGAGCACTCATACAGAGCCTCTTGCCGTCAATATATAAGTTACTACTAACTCTGATGGTCGTTCACTCAGAGAGTAAAATGTTTAACCCATTTCATATAACATTTCTTTTTCTGACAGGTAACGTCAGTCAAAATTTTCTTATCAGCAACATCGGGACCGTCAATGTGCTGAAGACAGTGGGATGAAAAAAAAAAAAAGAATTTGGGCTAAAAATTTCCCTGGTAAAAGGAACTCCTATTTAATCCAATTGGATGGTTTGAGGCATCTGGTCACACTGAAACTTATTTTTTGCTCACAGAATTGAAGGATTCCCATCCTGGCGGAACAAGTAAGGGTCTAACCTCAGGATACACTGCCCCTATTAATGACAAAAGAGCATATTTCCTTTGATACAGGATATTTAGTTTCTAGACCTCTGATCTGGAACAATAAATAAAATAAACTAGAGCCTGACCAGTACAAACACATAGGAAAAAAAAAAAAAAAAAGAAAAAAATAAAAGAAAAAAACAACATTGTGACTATTCATTTACATCCTTGAGATGGAGCTGTGTCCATGATATTTGCCTGACTTAGTGGTTGCTTCCAGCTACTCCTAGGCTTTTTTTCTACAAGGCTGAACATTTAAAATTAATTTAATGCAAAAGGCTGCACAGGCATACTTGCTTTTATTTAAACCATATTAACTATCAAAATATAGCCAAAATCAACATCTTCCCCATAAACATGTGCACCAGTTTAAAAATATCACTTTAGATTGATGTGTTACAGAGACAAGCCCCGAGGGTTGCATGGAGGCTGATGGTCCTTGTTTTTTTTTTTGATTTAAGGTGTCAGAACTACCATTGTGTTTAGCAGTAGCAAAAGGAGGAACAACTCACCAGTGTCTCCTTGAGTTTCTTCCCCATGAGCCACAGTTACGCAGCTCACAGTGTTGAGTTGGTGGCCACTGCACCAAGCCATGGCAACTAGTTACAGCTCAAATACTATACAAAGATTGTGATCAGCTGACTGGTTCTCCCTTCCAAGTCTGACTGTACCTTTCCAAAAGCAAGCAATGGGGCAGTTGTCTGTTCAATGGTTATTCTTGGAATGAGAACAATCACAGTGGTGAAAAGAAGACATCACACTTGGCTGGTGGATCACTTGGTGGGAAAGGTTGGTAATTGAGAGAGCTGGCTACAGAACATGGACACCTTACATCTTGGTTAAGTGCTATCTCATGATCTCTTTTTTTGAGGAACAAGGAAATATTTTGACAAAGTCTAGTACAAATGAGCCCTGAGGGTATAGTGAAGTAGAAATAATTACTGCTGACGAGAAGTACAAAGACTGTAATAGCAGTTAGGGATAATAATTGCCATATCTGAGGAAATCATAAAGCCAGAGCCAGATTTCACATCTTGAAGAATGACTCAGAAAGGAAACTGGAGGTCTGAAAACCTGTTGGACCTGGGGAAAGACTGGTCCTGACTGGAGCTCAATGTATATCCCATGCAGTATGTGATTCTCTGGCCTCTTGAAGTGATTGCAATAGCCCCTTCTGACCTTCATACTTAAGAATCTTATAAGACTGGTCCATAGCAGAGCCAAGCACTTGAGATCCTTTTTCTCACTATTATTGCCAGATCAGCCAAAATGTGATTACAGGTACGCTCCCTCCCACTCATTCCTTTGGATCAAGCCGTTGTTACAGCTGCACATCAAGCACCAGCATGAAAATTCAGACATCCAAAGGAGTGCACATACAGTTCATCAGGATCCTGTGCCAGAGACCGTAGCAGCATATGAAACAGTTGCACTAGTGTCAGGATGTTGGGAGCTCAGCTCTGAAATTTATCTTGGTACAAGCTGGGTGCAAGGAGCCGGGATAGATGCAGTCATAGAAACTACCTATGAGGACTTGTCAGTGCTGGCATTTGAGTCAAAGGTAGCACTTTCTTCAAGGAGGTAAGCAGCCACCCATTATTCTGCATATACAAAGAGAGGGTAAGGAACATGCTTAACGCTACAGACTAGGAGAACTGAGCCTAGGTCAGTGCAATCCACCTGCTCCTGCCCTATCTCAGGATGCAGCCACCAGGTACTTCACAGGCAGACCCAGGATGCTGCTTTGTAAGCAGATTTCAGTTGCTGTGGCTGTGCTCTGAGCTGGCCAGAAGCTGTGCAGCTGATCTAACACAGCCTGCCTCACAGCAGAGCCTGTCACCCTATGTCCCCTCTCTCAGAATGGGGCCATCTTAACAGCTCTGTGTGTCCAAGGCTGGAATGACCCTACATGTGTCTCTGCACAGCAACTCTATGGCATCAGTGGGGTCCCTTGGCTCTGTGATGGAGTCATTCTGTGTATGGGTGTGGGAACAGAAAGAAAAAAATAAATAAAAAAAGAAAAATAGGAAAAAAAAAAGAGAAAAAAAGAAAAAAAGAAGAAAAAAAAAAAAACACGGACAAGGAAGAGATGCTCTGAATGCTCTGGTCTGTTCAGGTAGGCATTAATTTCCCTTTAGCTGGTCCCAGTTTATTCTGTATTAAGGAGATACACTTCCATCAAGGTTAATCATTTTGTATTTGCTTCCAGCAAGAGGTTATCAGATGCAAGGGGCAAATTTCAGGTGCTGGAAATGGGTTTACATGAGCAAGGGTCTCGACTCACTTGTGTTTATATAAATAGGGAGGAAATCAGCAAGATTCACACGTCCATAAGATACTGGAAAAAAAAAAAAGTATTTCAAAGATGAAAAACTGTTTTTGTACCTACATACAGATTTATATGAACAAAACATAGCTTTCTTATACATAGTAAAGAAGTGTTAAAAATATTCTCTAGAAAGTCCTCTGTTATATCCATTTTAGGAGTTTTCCAGTAGAATAGGGACAGGATGACTGTGTGTCAGTAATCCTGGTACAGGCAAGGCAGAGATAAAGGTGTTAAATGGCCAAAGAAGTTTTATAATTCAGTGGCATTTTTTCTGATAAAGCAGTGTTAATCTGACAGCTACAGGAATTGGGGTGTGACATGAGCATGAGGCCAGAAAATATAAAATGAAGTAATCACAGTGAAGAAGTAAATGTTTTGAATAAAGCGCTATACTGGAAAACTTCAATAAAGCATCAAATCCTGTTGGTCAGTGTCTGAGCCCAGCCATTTGCCATTAATTTAAATATTGTTGTAGGCAGTTTAGCTAAAATATTTTTTTTTCATTCAAAATGGATTGGGGGTGTGCAAGGGCGTCTCTCATGGAGAAAGTGTTTCCCTTTTTGCCCCACTAAGACTCTGAACCTGCCAAACTATTCAGAAGAAAGAAAAGGAAAAAAAAAAAAAACGTGAAGGAAAACTTAAAACTTTATACCCCTGATCTCAGCTATTTTTTCCTTGCAGACCGTCTTTGAGTATTACATTATTGAACCTCCTTGTTTAATGACCCTTCTAATGCACTGCTATCAGGTAGTGCCATCTGTATTTGGGCAAATGTGCTCACTCGTCTGTTTACTCAGCATAAATTATCTTTATTTAAAGTTTAATGGAAGTTACATCTATTTGGACATCTGTACTTAACTGATTACTGGCCACAGTGGGCTGCCTGGTGGTTCTTCATGAACTCGCCAGCTGCTATGAAATGATAAGAGCCTGACATATGTTAAGAGCCAGCAACAATCACAGGCAGGGAACACTTTTTTTTTTTTACTTTTTTTTTTTTTTTCAATATTTCTGAGCTGGCAGCTAATGGCAGAATAAAGGAATCCACCCTCTTCCCCCAAATGCTTTCTCCATCCCCACACATCTCTGCTGTCAATGCAAACCCTTTCAGAAACACACTCAAAAAAAGCACCCTTCTACAGAGTGAATGAACTTTTTGGTACATGCTATTAAATCCACCTACAGTTTGCTACTTATCTCATGCAATGAAACACTTGTGTCCCTATGAAGCAAGAGACCAGCCCGTTTAATCAGGATCTGCAACTGATTTGGAAAGTTGCTGCCATCTATAGATAGGTATGAGGATCTGCTAGCACAGTTCAGAGAAAAGGTTTGAGAGACAGCAAGAGAATGGTGAGAAAAGAAGGGAAAATGCAGAGGGAGAGAAGCTGCAGCTGTCTGAGGAACTTATCCACTGCACTATACCACGGAGTCCATCTACTCCTGTCTGCACCAATGTCCAGCTGAAGAGGGATGCATGAAAAAGCAGCAGGAGACTGATGGGAGAGAAAGTTTCTTCCTGACTCCAGGTTGCCAGTTGTCTTATGCCCTAAAAAGATGAATGAGGGAGTGCAATAAGATTCCTCTAATAAGGAATTATTATTTATTATCTAATAAGACAATAGTCCTCTAATGAGCTTTATATTCTTAAACAAACAAAAAGCAGCCATGGAACTAGGTGTTGTTCACACCCTTCCATTCTGACATCTCTTCTTGACACTCTTCCACCCTTGAAAGCTGTGCAGTCTTTTTCTGCAAGATGAGCAGAAAAGGCTTTTTTTTTTTTTCTTTTCTTTTTTTTTTTTTTTCCATGTATCCTTCAGCACTATCTGCCACCATGGTCTAGACCAATTTGCCATGAATACACAGGAACATAGGCCATGGCTACCCCAATTGCCATCTCTAAATGCTTCTTGAATGCCAGGTGTGATCTCTACAGGCTTCTTGTGACAGCAGGGAGAGGTAAATGAAACAGCAGCCTGGGCATTAGGGAGGATCTGCCTGGAGTCTTTCAGGGAGAAATTTCTGTATTGTGTCTCTGCTGAAGTGACCCTCTGATCTCAAGCCAGAGCAAGGATATTATTCAGGCTACAGAGCAAGCCATTCAAAAGTTAGGAAAGCATATTGATGGAGAAGATGGAGAATGGCTACAGACTAAATTACTTCTCGCTTCAATACAAAATTTGAAAAAAAATCAACACTAAAGGCTTGGAGTTAGAAGCCTTTCCCACAAGCTCTGTAGCATTCACAATGGACAAACTGATCTTCGTGCCTGACCTAAGCAATCATGATGTACCAAAATGCTCTGCAGCCTGTACTGTTACTGAATCTCTCTTCCAATTGTGTTGTAAGGCTGACACCTCAGTTCTTGGCAACATTAATCCTAGACCGATTGCAGTTCACTGCAACAAAAATCTCTCATCCAATGTAAAGCCACATCTCACAATGGGCTGACTGGGGTCAGAAAAGAGGCCTTATCAGCTGAGAGTCCTTGTGCAATAACTGTGCTGGTACTTGCAGCCCAGGGACATGCAACAGTGGGTGAGCATAGCTCCTACACTCAAGAAGGGTAGTAGGATATAAAGGAGATTTAAAAAACTCACATCCTCTTCCCATTACCTTCGTCACATCACTAGAACAAATTTGTTTGCCATACTGCCCCTGTCTTGGTGGAACTGGTTATACTTTAAAGTTATGCACAATTACATTGTAAAATGGGCTGAGAGTTTATATACTGGACAAAATATGTTCCTTTTGCAATATTGGTATGTGCTGCTGAATAATGTCAATTTTGCTTCATTTCTGCTGAAGTACATGGAAAATCAAAACGAGGTAACTCATTATTGGTGGTATGACTGTTAAGTTGCATGAACACCAATGATCCTTTACCTCTGCTTTTGGTCTCTTCTTTTTCTCCATGACTCTCCTAACATTAGGATCATTGAATTATGGAACATACTGAGCTGGAAAGACCCACAAGGATCATCAAGTCCGACTCCTGAGTCCACACAGGACCACCCAAAATCATTCCCTGTGTCTGAGAGCGATGTCCAAATGCTTCTTGAACACCAGCAGGCTTGGTGCCATGACCACATCCCAGGGGAGCTTGTCTCAGTGCCCGACCACCTCTGGGTGCAGAACCTTTCCCTAACCCCCAGCCTGACCCTCCCCTGTCCCAGCTCCATGCCGTTCCCTCAGGTCCTGTCCCTGTCCCCAGAGAGCAGAGCTCAGCGCCTGCCCCTCCGCTCCCCTCGTGAGGGAGCTGCAGGCCGCCATGAGGCCTCCCCTTGGCCTGCTCTGCTCGGGGCTGAACACACCAAGGTTCCTCAGCTGCTCCTCACATATTTTCCCCTCTAGACCCTTCACCATCTTCACAGCCCTAGTGTTTGTCATATTGTGAGCTGAGCTATATCTTGGAAGGTAAAGTTTATCTGGGAAGAGCATGACCTGCACATATCAGGTTTTGACCAGTCCTTTTTAAAAGCTTATGTGCAAATGCAGAATGCAACCTGATATCAACAGCCCCAGCCCACAGAGCACCTCTAATTTACACGTTGTTGCCATGTGGCCATGGCTATTGTGCAATGATGACTTTGGCCCTTGTGATCTAATAAATGATGTTTTTAACTAGACCTTTATGCCAGGAGGAGTGTTGTAGATCTCTCTGCTACCATGCCCTACCATTCCAAAGACTTTAGGTTAATAAAATAATACAATAATTTAGGTTAATACAATAATTGCCTGAAATATAGCTCCCCACCCAGAGAAGTAAGATATCACCATTTGTGTCCTAGCACTGGTAATCATTTTCTGAGAAGTTACATCATGGAGAAAGGACTGTGTTGAAAAGAAATAAATAAAGTAAAAAGAATGACAATGAAGACTCTGAAGTTTAAGGGTATTTCTGTGTCTCCTCTAGCACTGAGGGAGACTAAATAACAGTCAAATCACAGCACTGACCTGGCTAAGGAAGTGAAGGGAAGTTGTATGGATCCTCCCCCAAACACATTTGTTCCAGAGCAGCAAGAAAGATTTACCTTTCTTTACAGCAGCAATGCGCTGCTGGCAGAACAGATAGTGACTTTAATATGACTGGACAAAATTTCCTACTGAGGAAAACTCTACTGAGTATTAAAAAAGATGTTTTATGAAAAGCTTCTTTACTTTTCCTCTCAGTTTTCAGGGTCCCTTTAATCCTTTCATACTTGACTAATTTCTCTCAGGATGAGATGATTAGTTGCTTATGTTTCCTAAACTCTTTGGTACAAATTTAGCCCTGGAGAAAACAGCTGTCAGCTCGGATTTGTTGTGGGTATCTACTGGCCTTGATGATCGAATTTTATTTAGGCCCCAAAGCTGCTCCTGTTTAAATGAAGATCCATGAGGCTCCCTGGAAGCAGAACCAGGCTCAGGCTGGATTTCTGAAAATAAACTCCTAAAATCTCATAGTAAAGCTTCATAATTACTGACCCCTATCAAAGTGGATTGAGTCTCAGGGAGAACTCCTACTTTCAAAAATCAGGGCAGTCACATATCTGGTTAGTATGGATTTAGAGACTTTGATATCATAGAAATCTTAGCCAAGTGGAAAAGATATCTAAACAGCCTGAATATACTGGAAGCAAAGAGG